AACCCACCATCAACACTTGTCTGCTGAGAAAAATTCCTGGCTTTTCTTTTCATCCGTCCTCCAGTTGTACTGAAGTTTGGAACTTCTGCTTGCACAACAGAAGGCCTACAAGATGTATAATATGCTCCACAATCAATAGTTACTCTACTTTATTTACAAACATTGAGAATGAAGTGAGATTCAAAAAACAAGGTATATGGAAAAAGGAGCCTGTCTCAGAATTCGCTTTCCTTTCCTTGCTTTGGCTTTGTTCTTTTTTCTTTAGTTTCATTTGTTTTGCTTTGCTTTCCTTTGTTTTCCCGTTTCCTTTCCTTTGCTTTCTTTTTCTTTCCTTTCCATTCCAAAACATTCTATTCAATATATTTCCTTTTCGTTCCTTTCCATTCCTAATAACGACAAAGTGCTCAGAAAGAACTTTCCTGGTAACAACCAGCTTAAATCCCTATTTAACAACCATGTACAGGAATTACTTTTTTATCGGAAATAGGTACGACGTCGGAAACATGCTGAGAAGATCAACATTTCAGCTATTCGACTATTACTTATCTAAATTTTGGTGTGTTTTGTGTGGCTGGATCATGCTGCGCTGCCTTCCACATACGAAGCAAGGTGTTAACTAATTACATTAAAGTTTCTTACTAAGCTGCCGTAGTGTCGAGTACTTGGACCACTTAATAAGCCCTAATTAACCAAACGATTCACGAGTACACAAGGTGATTTCTTAGTTGCTCTGGATGATATAAAAGGCCCAGTACACTAGCTAGTGTTAAAGACTAGAGAATTTCCAAGGATCCAAATATGCGGCAGTTAATAATACTCGTCTTCGGGTTGTTGGTGGTTTGTTCTATGATCGTAGACGAAGGTGAAGCTATCTTATCCTTTGGCAACCAGGACGGCAGAAAGAAAGGGGGAATTCCTTTACCTGAAGAAGAGAACAGAGGGAAAAGAATACAATCAAGAGGGTATATTGCGCATCTAAAGGTACTAGTGTTTTTACTTCTTTATTCGCCCTATTCAAGCTTTACTTTTGGATGCTACGAGGGTTTTCTCCGGGTACTCCGGTTTCCTCCCTCTGTAAAAATCAGCATGTGAGATGAGCGTTGTGTGCATAGAATTTTAAATATGGTAGTGCGTTTTTTTTTTGATTAACTTAACTTAACGAAGAAAACTTAATTAACTTGACGAAAAAGCCACGGCTAATAAAGCCTACGCATGCGCTAAATCACGTGGGTAACATGGCGGGAAAATTTATAATTCTCAACCCGACCAATTTTTAACTCGTAATAATAATAATTATATAACTATAATGATGATAGTAATAATAATAATAATAATAACAATAATCTCCATCACAGAAGTACAGAAGATTGCTCTCCTTGGAACTGCACACATTAGAAAAACTCTCATGATTACTTGATTCTTGATTTCTATTTTCCCTTTAAATTGATTTATTTTATTTTTTATTTTAATTACACCTCGTATTGTAAATATATTCTTTTTTTTGTAAGC